ACTGCTACTGCTACTGTTACCGCTACGCTACTGTTACTGCTACTGCTACTGCTACTGCTACTGCTACTGCTACTGCTACTGCTACTCCTGCTACTCCTGCTACTACTGCTACTACTGCTACTGCTACTACTGCTACTGCTACTGCTACGGCTACTGCGACTACTGCTGCTGCTGCTACTGTTACTGTTACTGTTAGTGCTACTACTACCGCTACCATCACCGCTACTATTGCCACTGCAATTGCTACTGCTACTGCTTCTACGAGTACACTACTGCAACTGCTACTTCTACTGCCACTGCCACTGCCACTGCCACTGCCACTGCCACTGCCACTGCCACTGCCACTGCTGCTGCTACGACGACGACGACGACGACGACTACTACTACGACGACGACCACGACGCTCCTGCTCCCGCGGCTACGACGCCTCTACCAGCACCACTACCGCTCCTACCACTACCACCACGACTCCACCACTATCACAGCCACATATCAATACCACTGTTTTCAGATTCACAGCCACATCAACGGCGACAGCAACAGCAACAGCAGCAACAATAAGAACAAATCTCAGAATAGCGGTAACAGCACATCAGCAACAGAAGCTAAGCAATGGCCATAACAAAGCTAACATACGACGGCGAGGACGACGACGGCGGCGGCGACAACGATGTCGACTTTTTTGACAGCTCCAATACCCGCAGTAACAACAGCCGCCAAAACAACAGAAGCAGGCATAGACTCAGATCTTCCCATTTCAACACATGACCCAGGCAATCCGGCGATGATGGACTGCCCTTTTTACATCGTGTTCCTGCTGCTGGGTCTGCAGTGTTCCAGCGTTCATCTTAGTCAGAGAACCTTTGCCAAAGCGGAAGCCAATCCATTCTGTGAATGTTCAAGGCTGGATGGTCTGGCAGGATCGCCTGATGCAGCCATAGACTCGATAATGAACGACGCGAACATGGATTGGGATACAGCACTGGAGATGATCGAGTTCATCGACAACTTTACGTGGCTTCATTACCTCCGCTACGTCCTGATTGGCCTCGCAATCTTGGGGATCGTTCAGGCAATCAAGAAGCGCAGCAGCTAGGCCATGGTTGGCGACTGGTTTGTCGGGAAGCCTTGATCCCCTTAACTATAACAGTTTACGTTGTCACACCCAGGAATGATGCTGAACGGGGAGTGCAAATCTGCATCTGCCTATGGGGCTCCACCCAGCTACGGAGGGGCTCCACCGGCGTATGGTGGGGCTCCGCCGGTCACTGTTGGTGCACCAGTGACGGTACCGCCCGTTGTGCAAGCCACCGTGGTCCAGCCGTCCAACGAGTCCAATCAGATTGCGTAGCGCTCCCGCAGTTGATTTCATGATGGCCCTGTATGATGGCCATTGAGTGTTGCATGACCAGAGAAGGTCTCGCCGTTCCGATGGGGTGTTTTTAAGGTCATTGTAGTCGCTCTTTCTACGGACCCAAATGGGATGTAGAAATGTAGAACCACTGAACAGTGAGTAGGTTTTGTATGAGCTAGCGGCGGCTCAAAGAGGGCCCGTTGCTGCTGGCAGTGAAAAATGCTGCTACGTTTCTTCGCCCTCCTGATGATACTCATTAATAATAGAACTGGCAGTATCAATCACGAAGATATCACAGTAATGTCTATATGATATCAGCAAACATTAGTCGGAATGATGATGGTAAGCTTACCAATGGCATCTCAAAGTTTGCAGGGCGCATGGGGAAGCCTTGAGCTTCTGGACTCTGCCGTCCCCGATCACAGGAACTCGTGCCGCTGGCATCTTGCTGTCAAAGGCGACATGCACCACGATCTCGCCATGCTTGATGCATGCCTGATGCTGATGCCAATGGGCAAAGGCTCGGGCCAAAGAGCTAATGAGAGGAAAGGATGCTAAACAGCTCGTGCAGTTTCTGGCAAACCTTTAAGCTTCCCTGATTCGGGCTCAAAGGATGCGTCAAGCTGCCCATTTTGTTTCAAGCCGGACCATATATATTTTTTTTGGGGGGGGTCACCATCAGTGAAGAAAGGCTTGACAATGGGAGGATGTGTCGTGCAGTCGCGCAGTTAGGTCTCCAGGTTGCCCTTGTGAGATTGTGCTTTTGAGCCTAGCTGGACTTTGGTCTTTTGGCCTGTCTAATGGCGCAGTGCAGTTCTCTCATATGAAGGGCCCCTCTGATTTGTCAAGGTCCTTACTTTTTCCAAGCCCAAATGCGGAGAATCTGCGGGACCCCGTGCCAGACACCGAAAAGCGCCTAAACTGTCACCGAGGTCGCAGAGCTCTCTCTTCTTCGTGTCCTGTACATCGCGGCGTCCTCAGTCGAGGGCTTCAGCCATGTGTGCTCAGTCATGTTTCTAGATCAACTTGCAGGGAATCTGATGGTTTGCAGCTGAAGTCTAGGAAGTCAGTGCACCCGACTTCTGGCAGACCCGGGTCGTGCGGCTCTTCAAGCTGACCCGCGCGTTGAATGCGGATCTCGGACAGCCGTGAGCCCAGCAGGGCAGTTGTTGTTAATGGCGGATGGCCGCAGATATCAGCCCTGAGGCATATGTAAGCCGGGTTGCAATCTGCTGCACCAGGTTCAATGAGATCAACGACCTCTTCAAAAAGGCTTGTCGGCATCGCATCCGGCTGTTTTGGACATAGGTCGTTGAACGATTGAGTTCTTGGCTTTTTTTAAATACATCGATAAGAGCTTTGGAGCTGGGCTTGATTTCCGCTGCTCGGGGTGCAGAGAAGACCCCACCCACGACCCAACACCGCGACCCTGCATGCAGTAATTCATTGGTTCCTGAGACTCGCCTCGTCCAGGTGCTGGCGAACGCCGCTCCAGCGATTCTTATGACAGTGCCCTGAGAAGATGAGCCATCGATTGCATACTCGGTAAGGATGGACCCCGGTTAAGTTTACTTCAGGATTTCTGGACTGGCCGACTGCTGCAAGTCACAAAACACGTCTGCTGCCAGATGTCTTGTGAAGTGGATCGGCTGGCGGAAGACCTGAGGTGCTGCTCATCGTGATTGCCTTGTTCTTCTTCGGTACTTTCATCTGGTGCGATCCCTAGACGAGTGAGCACATACCCGCAGCAGAGACTGTAACTTCCGTCATCCCCGATCTTGCGCCAAAGAGACTGTCTGTGTGGGTGGGTGGGTTACAAACTTCCTGTGAGGATCGCATCCACTGTGGGTCTTCATACGTGGAGTACAGTCAACAACTCCAAGCTACTCAAGCCTGCACACACCCGCGAGCTCTAAGCCGCCCTTGGAACCTCTGCTTTCCTCAGCTCTGAAGTTTGGCACGTATGCGGCCTCTTCACGAGACAGAGCCGGTCTAGGGTTGGGGCTTAGACGTTGTGGCTGGGTCCACTTCGACAGTTGATGATCAGAGCTTGAGGAATTTCAAGGATTTTGATTTAGGGTGTGTGGGTCCGTTTCGAAAGCTGAGTCGTCTGAGGTCTGGATGGTTTGTTTGGAGGTGGGGGCTTCGACTTCTTCAATTACAAACTCCAAGCCCTGACTTTGGCCAAGGTTCTGCGAGCGTGGGGAGTGGGTTGGGAAAGACTCGCCTCGATACCAGGCTCGTAGCTTGAGTCCTTGCTGTCGGCTTCGTGCGTTCATGGGCTTGTTGTTGAGAGTTTCATGGGCTATGTAGGGCTATGGGGATTTGTCTGACTGTTGTCAGGCTGATTTTCTTAAGTGAGCTTGTGACTTGAGGTTGAGATGCGGACGCACGGCTCGCAGCGACAGGATGCAATCGAACCATTCAAAGACACAGGCATGTCGCCTGTCTCTCAATAGCATCACTCTAAACACATAGATGTGTTGATCATGCGTTGACTTAACTTGGCCGCATGTCATAGCTTTTGGATTGAAGGCGTTGGTCATCGGAGATCGTGGCTCGGAAGCAGGCGCCAACGTTTCACAAGTCACAGTCGACACAGAGCGGATTGCATTTCGCTCTCGGGCGATTGACAACGCATAGCTGTTTTAGTGCGCAAAGCCGTGTTGCACTCAGCGAAACTCTTAGCGAAGCAAGGGCAGGTGCGGCAGGTGTGGTCCCAAAACGGCCTGCCATGCGCAGGGCCTTCCAGTAGCATTAAACTCACCGCGCTGCATATTCTCGAGACCAAGGACGACCAAGCCCGAATCCGTCATCTCTGCTTTAACATCATCCCTCGCCAGGTGCATGGTTGCGAGTTGCAGCAGACGGCCTCACCGAGGAGCTCAGCAAACTCGATGCAATGTAAGTTTAAGGGTTGATTTATCGGCTTCGGCCGCTTGTAGCATGCAGTGAGTGGAGTCTCTGACCTCCCAAGCTCTGCCAGTTCTTGTCTGCGGTTGGCGGCAGAGATCTTTCGTTAGCTCTAATCATTCTAGTAATGGTAAACTGCCCGCCTGTCTGCCAACCCCAAGTCCGCCGAGGTCCGTTTACATCTATTCCTGGTGCCTTCTGGTGGAATCTTGCTGCAAATTTGTTCTTCGACATATGAAAGGCACTACAACGTCAGTTCTCATGTGGAGCAAGCGAGGACTCATCTTACCCAAGATTGAGCCACACTGGTAAGAGCCCGGTTGACAGCGACTTCTTGTTGGGTTTTCGACTCTCTCTCCCTAGACGAAAGCTTGGTGATCAGACGGCTATGGAGGTTACCTGCAAAGTCCATCAGTGCCTTCGTTCAGACATAATGTGCAGTATCGCAGTTCGTGAGACCTGTAGTCCCTTATAATCCTCTGAAAGATGGGTCCTGCAGATCTCAGGACGATCGTCACGATCACAACCGTTGGCTATGGCGACCAGGCCTTGATGCTAATCTCGGAAGCCCCCAAGGGGGGGGAAACTGGAGCTGAAGATGACAGCCGAAGGCTACCGGCGGTGCAGTAGCCGGAGCGCGAAGTGACAAAGAATCATGTCCTGCCGGCCTTGCCTTGAAGTTGGGCCAATGACGCTTACAGTAGAGCGCAGATTCGTCAAATATGAGCTCAGTTTAGAACTCCGCCTCTGAACCGCTGCACTCTTTGCAGGTTCCGACCTCTTGGGTCGGAAAGACCGTGGGCTCCGTGTGGGCCTTAGAGTCTCGGAGGCTCTGGTTCGCAAGAGGACGAGGCTAGCGGCCAATGGGTCGGCGTTCGTCGCTGGGCACGTAAGCTGCCCGACTTTGCAGTGTGTCATAACGAGTGAGCCGCTGGACGCGTTTGGTGTTTTCATGGTCTTGGCGTTGCGAACCGGCAAAGATGGGCCCTTCGCTAAGATCGAAGATTGTGCGCGCATGCGCTGCTCTCTGAACAGCTACTTCACACAAAAGCTTGACGCACTGCTACAGAGCTACCTAAAGCGTCCATACTGGGCTACGAGATCAGGGCACTATGTCGGAAGTCCCGAACCGTCAGGTGGCCATGCTCTACGGCACCGTCATCTTGGGCCTCCCACTCTTCGTGGTAGGGGCGACCTTTGGTCAGGAGCTGCGTCCGTGTGCGAAGCTCAAGAGCTCCCAGAAGATCCGAAAGCTGCAAGGAGTACAACAGACTGATGAAGGATGCCAAGCGGAGGCGCGACGCCGCGACGCTCCTTCGCCGATCACGCCCGGAACCCCATACCCAAATTATCCCAAATAACGATAAGCATCACCCAGCACCTAGACTCTAGACACCAGATGACACCAGAGCGGGCAGTGATCTTGCAGAGGGCTCCTTGGGGACTTCGATGCGGTTGCTGTGCCGAGGGCTCCGGTCTGTCCCGAACCGAAGCGAACCAGCCCATGGAGCCCTTCAAGAACAAGATCAAAGCTTCTTCTGAACCCCTGATTCGACAGGGAGGAGCTGAAGAGCGATCGGTCTGCCGGGAAGCATGTGCAGACCTTAGGACTCAGGTTCCAGCTGATCGTGTTCTGACTTGTGCATTGCTTTTGCATCTTCTTGTTCCAACTTCTTTCTCAAGCTCCGTTCGTACGATACCTCCCCGCAAGACCTACAGCACTTTGCACCCAGGGCACCCCACTCCGCCACGCCGAGCGCACGGCACGGTTTGCAAAGGCTCCGCCAGGACATGTTGCGAGTTCCGCTTCGGGGCAACTAGCGCTCAATTAGCGGCCTTGGGCATTAAAGGGGCTTTGAGGCTTCGTCAGGATGTTCGGGCCGCAAAGCGGCTGTGGCATGATGCTTCTGAAGCATGTGCGTGCGTCTGTTTATCCCAACTTGCACCACTGCGTCAGCTCCATGCTGTGACACACGTGTTCTAGGCTTCCACAGTCTCGAACAAAAGCATTTTAAATATTAGCACAGCTGCAGAAGCACCGCAAACGAGGATCCATTGAGACTACTTGGAACAGCCACACTTGG